GGGGGGGGGGGGGGGGGGGGCAGTGTGTAGTGGGGAGTGTTGGGTCGTAGAGAGGCGTTTAGGCCCGTGCGACAAAATCATCTTGAAAAAGTGTTAAAAAGTGTTTACCACCACGTTATAAGGTGGCGTTTAATGGATCCAACTATCGGTTGGTATCAACCGGAGCAGTGTGGCCCCGCCAAGGACTTGTGGTTGCACATTTGGGAGGCCGAAAAGGGTATCGATATATTGACCCTTAAAAACGATAATTGTGGTGTTGGTTTGCACGGTGTTACAACAACAATGACAACTAAATTTAATCAGGATTATATACCCATTGATAACAGTAGTAATCGTGTTAATGATGACAGAACGGTTATCAATCGTCAGATACACAATGCCTGTAATAGTTATTACAATCCATCGAGAAGGAAAAGTGATAATCGTGCTAGTACACACGGTATGAACTACAATCATGACGCACTTATTGGGGTGTACGGTGGATGTCCTTGGCGTATACCCAGTAAACAGTATTCCAAGGGTGTCATTGGGTATGTTTTATGGTATTTTTTATATTTAATTTTACTCTATTTTTTGCGGGTGACAGGGGGGGTTTTGGTGCATTATTTTCCATCGTCTTCTCCCATTTTTTTTTCACTTGGCTAATGTCCCTTCCCCAGCCTTGAATATATTTGGTGAGTGTACCGCTAACCGTGCGAGGGCGCTTTGGATTTTTTTTTCTGCAGCTGGGGAGGTTAGGGCATTCGCACACACGTGATATTTTATTTCTGCGATGGATGGTATTGAATAGGAAACGGGGGCCATTTAGTGGGAATTTTCGGCCGCATTGTTTTGATTTTTTTTTAATGCAGGGATAATTAATTTTGGGGGATTTTTGGATGATGGATGGGAGGGCTTTTTAGAGGTTGGAGGGGCTCGTGCGGTCGTGCCTCTGGAGATGCATGAGATGATGAACCATCTTGATTTGGGTATGACGATGCTTCAAGTCGAGTTTCAATGGGGAAATTGATTGGGATGACTCGGAGTTGCGACATCGGGGGAGGAGATCGGGTTTCTTGGGTCGTGGGAGTAGTTCGTTAACCGGTGGGTTATTCAAAGGCGAGAGAGTTTGGAGAGCCCCGGTTTCGTTGATTGTCCATGATTAACGGTGCCATGTGAATTTGAAAAAAGATTCAAAACAAATTTTTTCTTTCCCTCCATCATTGGAGAAATATGTATTCATCCATCCGACGAAATTTCAAACCCGCAACCGGAACTAGACATCGAGAAAATAAATGCGGAAAATCCTCTGTTTCGCGTGACGAACCTCGAGAAAGCATGGGATCAAATGGGTACGGCGAGTTGAAATATCTCTCTTATTCACCCCGGTACCCCATTGTTTTTTGTCGCCATCACATTGAACACATCATTCCCCATATCTTCAAATTTTTTCAAATTTTTCTTGAGTTCCTAGGGGGTTGAAACGTTCAATTTAATCAAAACTCCATAAGAGGCCGTGTATAAGACTGATTTTGTTTATTTAATTTCTCGATATCCATAAGTTCTAAAATTTTAAAATTGTCACCGATGTTCACCATCTGTCTAATACTATTAATTAAAAAAATTATAACTTTGTTGGTGAATGTCAATTTTCAAGGTCATCGCCAAATTCACTTGGCACCCTTAAAGGGCGAGAGGGGTGGAAGAACCATTTTCAACCATAGAAAACTCATGATCAGTCGGGGGAAATTGCACCATTTTTTATTTTGATTTTTGAAGGCTTTTTCAGACTGAAAGGACTGATTCATTCGGGTCATATCTTTTTTTATCTCATCTTCCTTTAGTTTTGGGGGGAATTGGTTGGATGGTGATTGCTTGGGAGTGAAAGGGAATTATCACTAATTGGGGTTTAGGATTTTGCGGATGTCTTAGAAGCACGGATTTGGCGAAGCCAACATCATGCAACTTCACTCACGTGAGTGATACGTAGGGGCGGGTGGGGTAAAACGGACACTAAACTTTTTAAAAATTATTCATAACTCAGAAACAAATTGATCAATTGAGCTCAGTTTAGGCTCATCACAAAGGGAAAGAATTGTTCTTTGTATTTCAAAAAAAATTATTAAATTTTATCAACATTTCAACCCCTCATTAACATTTTAAAAAAAGTCAAGTGTCCGTTTTACCCCAATCTCCCCTATGATTTTCTAAAAATATTTTGAAGTCTGAAAAATGCCGTTAGGTAAGCTTTGGTGCATCCAAAACGAAGCATTTTCTCAGGAGATATTGATGATTCAAGAAGGTTCATGTTACCTCACCTATATCTACACGGAGGGAATATAAAATTAAAAATTATTATGTGGCCATAGTAATTGAGAACCACATGGAAAAAATTTAAACTTTAATTTATGTATTTGTTAATTCAGTAGCGAAGTCGTAAAACGGTTTAAGTCGAGTTATCTCCCAGTTGAGTTTTTGAGAAATATTTACAAATCTAAGGGGGATAGGGAAATTATCATAATTATATTTATTGTAGCTCTCAATCGGCTCTACAAAAAAGGTTGTAACAAAACTTTCGCTATCTCCCTTAGATTCCGAGATATTTATTGAAAACTGGTCAATAGTCGAAATTTACTTGTACCGTTTTACCACTTCACTACTGAATTATTTTATTTGATCTATTTTAAGCGAATTTTTACTTGAATCAAATTAAAATTTAGTTTTATGTAACCAATTTTGACTATACTAACTCTGAATTTTGACAATATTCAATACTGAATCTTCGAGTATAGCTTTGAATTCGATTTTCTCATATTAAAAATTACTATGTGCCCTCACTAGAAAATGATTTTTTTTTCTGTAGTTTTAAGGGGAATTTATGAGAGATTGTTTGAGAATTGAAGTTCTGGATTTTGACGGAACTCTTAGAAGCCAGCGTTTGGCGAAGCCAGAATTATACAACTTCAGTCTATACATTGACAGAAGAATTTAGCTACTGTTAACGAGGCCTCTTAACACCAACTAAATCGTTTCACTTTTGGCCGTGACTATTCGCACCATTGCGTGAATCACTCCCGTACCTCCATACACTCCACGCATGCGTGAAGTTTGTGTGTTTCACGCAGCCGAATTCTCATACTGCTGTGTATTTCACGCAGTTGAAGGTTCATACTACTGTGTGTTTCACGCAGTTGAAGTTTCATACTACTGTGTGTTTCACGCAGTTGAAGTTTTATACTACTGTGTGTTTCACGTAGTTGTATTTTTATACTACTGTGTGTTTCACGCAGTTGTATTTTTATACACCTGTGTGTTTCACGCAGTTGCATTTTGATACGCCTGTGTGTTTCACGCAGTTGAAGTTTTATACACCTGTGTGTTTATACACACAGGGGTGTGAAATACACAGGAGTATCTGAATACCTCTGCGTGAAACACACAGGGGTATAAAAATACAACTGCGTGAAACACGCAGTAGTATAAAACTTCAACTGCGTGAAACACACAGTAGCCTTAAAACCTATTCCATTCGATTCCTGAGGAAATTTGGGTTCCGTATAGGCAGATGGACGACTCAGGATTGCGTTTTTCCACTTCCTAGGCCTTATACAAGATGAATTGAATTAATTTTTTTTTGCACTTTCGTTTTTCGCGATTATCTCGGAAACTATGAGAGATAGAGCCTTAAAATCAAATTTGGGTCCCCTATAGGCAAGTGCACGACTCAGAATTGCGTTTTTCCACTTCCTACACCCTATACAAGATGAATTAAATTAATTTTTTTTGGCACTTTCGTTTTTCGCAATTATCTCGGAAACTATGAGAGATAGAGCCTTAAAACCAAATTTCGTTCCCCTATAGGCAAAAGGATGGCTCAGAATTGCGTTTTTTCACTTCCTAGGCCTTATACAAGATGGATTAAATTAATTTTTTTTGGCACTTTCGTTTTTCGCGATTATCTCGGAAACTATGA